TTGTCCATCAGAATCACCACCTTCAGCTGATTTTAAATACCATTCAAATGCCTTCTTTTCATTTTTAGCAATGCCTACGCCATCTTCATAACAAATTCCAAGATTATATTGGCCAGCAGAATTACCTCTTTCGGCAAATTTTAAATACCACTCAAATTCTTTCTTTTTATCCTTAACAGTGCCTATGCCTCTATCGTAGCAGAATCCAAGGTTACATTGTCCATTGATATTACCGCCTTCAGCAGATTTTAAATACCACTCAAATGCCTTCTTTTCATCCTCAGCAGTGCCTATGCCTTTTTCATAGCATAATCCAAGATTACATTGCCCACTGAAATTACCACCTTCAGCAGATTTTAAATACCACTCAAATGCCTTCTTTTTATTTTTAGCAGTGCCTATGCCTTTTTCGTAGCAGAGTCCAAGGTTAAATTGTCCATTAATATTACCACCTTCAGCAGATTTTAAATACCACTCAAATGCTTTCTTTTCATCTTTAGCAGTGCCTATGCTATTTCTGTAGTAAAATCCAAGGTTACATTGCCCATTGGAATCACCACCTTCAGCAGATTTTAAATACCACTTAAAAGACTTTTTTTCATCTTTAGCAGTGCCTATGCCTCTTTCGTAGCAGAGTCCAAGGTTAAATTGCCCATTAATATTACCACCTTCGGCAGATTTTAAATACCATTTAAATGCCTTCTTTTTATCTTTAGCAGTGCCTATGCCTCTTTCGTAGCAGAATCCAAGATTACATTGTCCATTAATATTACCACCTTTAGCAGATTTTAAATACCATTCAAATGCTTTCTTTTCATCCTTAGCAGTGCCTATGCCATTTCTGTAGTAAAATCCAAGTTTATATTGTCCATCAGAATCACCACCTTCAGCTGATTTTAAATACCATTCAAATGCCTTCTTTTCATTTTTAGCAATGCCTATGCCATCTTCATAACAAATTCCAATATTATATTGCCCAGCAGAATTACCACCTTCAGCAAATTTTAAATACCACTCAAATTCTTTCTTTTTATCCTTAGTAGTGCCTATGCTTCTATCGTAGCGGAATCCAAGGTTACATTGTCCATTAATATTACCACCTTCAGCAGATTTTAAATACCATTCAAGAGCCTTCTTTTCATCATTAGTAATGTCTATGCTAGATGGTCTAAAAGACATTATAATTACCGATTATAAGTAATTCAGTAAATAATTCAGGATATATATATTTTTTATTTCATTTTTATTGTTATTTACTCGTAAATAGTATTTTTGAATAGGAATTTATTTTATAATGCTAAGGTACTATATATAGTCATTCAAAAGGTGAACATGAAGTTGATGCTATTTTATATTAAACTTACTTTACTCCCTACTACAAATTTAGCAAACTGTACCGATCACGAAAGTATTACGAAACACATTATCGTACAGTACATATTTAACACATAACACACGCAGATGTAGATGATACACTATTTGTAACCGTATCTATTAAGGGTAGATAGGTTTGGGACGAATTTGTATATAAAACTAAACAACTTTTGGGGTTTTCCCTTATTTCTTTATTAAAAATACTGCAAGCGAAAGCCTAATTAGCTTTCTTTCTTTTTACAAGCTTTTATATCGCATTTTACAATACAATTATTTAACTATGACTACAACTTGAACGCATGGTCGTTACGATTTCTAATGACTAATGCTAACGCGATTCCGACCTTGCATCACGTTCACGTGATATGCATTTGTTTTATGGATCTCCGATACGATCGTTGCATGAACTTCCAGCACGTTCGTTGTGCGACACGTGCATTGTGCAACGTGGTTCAGTAGTTCCCTTACACTCTCCACCATTTAAAACAGTTTCACTACATTTTTCAAAATCTTTTACCAGTTCTTTATATTTTTCAAGATTCTTAAGGAGTTCCCAGGTCGCATCATACAACAGGTGTCCTTTCCATTTCACCAAGTATTGTGAACGGTGATAGTAGATTCTTTTGTCTAATATGGCTTCAATTTCTTGTTCTTCTGGAGTCTCGTTTGTGATGTCTTGGGTTGATTCAGTAGTGTCTTTGTTTTCATCAGAGTAATATTGTTTCAACAAGGTTATGTGAAAAACTGGATAAATACGCAGAGTTTCAGGAAGTTCTAATTAGTAAGCTACTGTTGAAATTTTCTGAACAATCTTAAAAAGGTTTATGAATTTTTAAATAAGTTTCTTTGATAGTCTTTTCTTGCTTTCTTGTGAGTTTAGGTTTGTTGTGTTTAGCATCACTAGGTTTCCTTCTTTTATTCTAAGTAATGTTATCTTTTGTTGGCTTTATCACTTTGTTTCTCTTGAACATTTCTAATGAGTCTTTCATTATATTTATTATTTTAGTTTAGTATTTAAACAATTCCTGTGTAGCTTTCATGTTTGTTAGGTTTATTCTTTTATTTACTAAGCTTAATAGTGTTTTTGAATAGTATCATTGTCTAGTTAAAATAGCATATAACCTATAGATCCTTGTAATAAGTTATTATATGAAAATTCTGTAGCAGGTAAAATCTCTTCCTAATTATTTTTTTTTTTTAAACTTAGGCAATCTTGCCTGTTATTTTATTAAGAAAAAACTTATACAAGCTATAAGGTAAATTACTATATAATCTATACTAAAATACCTTTCTTTAATTATTTTGAACTCATTCAGCTACCTTTCAGTACTCAGATACGATCTGCTGTAGTGATTGGACCCATCTAAAAAATCATCACCTGGGTAACCCACAGGTTAACCTGTCAGATGACCTAGGTGATTGATGAGTATACTCAGGTAAAATTTTTACCCATTGTACCCAGGTGGTTTTATAGTCAGACATTCATTTGATTAGCTAATATAAATCAATTACTCAGGGAATTAATTTTTGAAAAAAAAATGCAATTACAGTATTTGAACTAAGATTTGTATTTGGAAAATGTGTACAATATTGCTGCACAACAATGGCTTGAGAGATCAATTAAAAAAATATAATAATTAGCTTCTAATGTTTTGAATAAATTTTATTTTATTTATTTTTTTTTATACCCGCAGATATTAATCTCAGGATGCCAGAAGGCATTTTATTTATTGGCATCTTAAAAAAGATTAAAATTACATTGAATTAAACTTAGTAATTTTGGGTTTTAATTAATTAATAATTTTTTTTTTCTATTATTATTATCATACTATCGCATATTATCTATAGTTAATATATTTTAAGATTTTTTCGATCCTTTTGTTCCCTTGCTTTAATTTTAGCTTTTGTAGAATTCTAATTTCATTGTTAATGTAGTTACGTATTATGTGTTTTAAAGTTGCTTTGGAAATAATTCTGTTGTTCTATTTTGTCTATGTATACTACTACTAAATTTCGTAAATAGTGATTATATGTATCCATATCGTAGTAATTTGCATTAGACCTTTTTGGATATTAGAAATTAGGTTAGCTAAGTCGAGAAATTGATAAGCTATTTTCTATATTGCTCTACTGATAGGGTTTTCTGTTACAAAATGATCTATAGTTTGTAATTCCCTCAGACATGCTGAGCAGGCTCCGAGTCCGTTTTGTTGATATATCATAATCTGTACCCTAAAGTAATTACTTTGTATGCAATTCACTAAAATATGTTCATTTTTTTATTCAGAATAAATTTTTGCTGTTGCTATTTGAACGTAATATCACTACCTTCCTGTATTATACCTGTTGTCAAGGGGGTTGTATGTTGGTCGAGAAATAATGACTTTAACCATAGGTATTCAGTAGCTTTTCTAACTGAATACATCTCTCCTAACTGATTATCTATTTTGATTTCATCAAGAGCCTAAGGCCAAGCTTCCACATTCAAGACTCTTCTACTTAGTCTTTTCTATACAAGTAAATAAGGTCTCTATTTTTCAGGCAAACCCTTTGTTTTATTTAAGTATTCGTTTAGTGCAGTCTTCGATATTATTTGCCTTTTGGCTTGTAACTCGTTTGTGATTAACTTCTTTTCTACTTTAGCCCAGAAGTTTTCCTCTGATAGCAATTTCAACTATATAGTAATAAGTCAGAAATCTAGAATGTCTTTTATTATCAGAGCCACCAGGCCTTCTTGGCTATATCTTTGCTGAAAAATCAAGTAATATAGCAGTATTCTTGAACTTTTTTTGATCTATCCTATTATTATATTATTGAGCTTGTTTAATTGCTTACTTCTTGGGGGAGGAGATATAATGTATACCAGATTTTGAATATGAACAATATTTTTACTATTAAAATTTTTTCTTTTAGAGAGAGGTTTCTATGTGTCATTCCCTTTATCTTTTTTTTTATATTTATAATTAATTCATCTCATATATTTTTCACCAGATTTCCTATTCTGTTCATCTTATACCTCAAGATTGAAATGAGCTCATTTTCAGCAATTTTTTTAAAGTTATTCACATTGAGTAATTCTACTCTTAGTGCGTTAATAGTAAGAGGCAATAGTATAGTTTTGGATTTGTTAATTTTAGCATTAGATGTGGCCTTGTATTTTTTCATTAGTTCTTTGAATGTGTGCCAGTCTGCAAGTGATCCTATTTCTAATGTTAAGTCATCTGTATACACAGTGATTTTAAAAGGTAAATTCTTTATGAAGATACTACTGATTTTTTTGTATAAGGTCTTTAAAAGAGGTTTGAATATGATAATATATAAAAGAGGAGACAAGAGGTCCCCTGACACATCCCTACTTTAGAATAAATTTAAACAGTCATTCTTAGCTTACTTTTTGTTTATTTTATTTTAATTAGAGATTCCATAAAAATTTTGTATAGAACAATTATATAAGCTTCAAGATTTAAATTTCAATACTGTTTTATCCTCATTTATTAATGAATATCATTAAGAATTTTGTTATCTTAGTGCTGCATGAAACAATTTGTACCTTGATGCAAATTCATGTGTATGTTCTATTTCTAATTTTAATGTTTTTTAGATTTCTTTTAAATCTAATTCTTGTTTGAAAAGAATTTATTGAAACTTAAAAAATTACAAACTTTATTATAATAATTCAGATCTGTAAATAAAACATTTTATTGAAGACTATTTCTATATACTGTACGTACGAAGCAAAATTTTAAGTCTTCCATAATCAAACCTATAATAAATCTCTGTACTTGCTGAATGATAAAGATATTTAAAATATTATATTTAAAATCATTCTAATACAGATCTCCAAAAAATCTAATGCTATTCAGCTCCATATTTATGAAAATAGCTATAAACTTTAGTAAAAATATAATAAGATAAAAGTACAGTATATGTTAATTTAATATTGTTTGATTAAATCTTTTGCTTTGTTGATCGAATATGAATAATTAATTAATATATAATAAATATCAATATCTAGTATTTCAACAATTTGTTGTATTCACAATCTGAATTACTGAACTGTATTATCAATTAATTCAGTCATTTCTATTTCAATAAAATTATTCTCAAATAGAAATGTTTCAAGTAAAAGAATTAGATTCGAAAAAT